GATGCATTGGCGTTATCAAAAAAGAACTCCAGAGGGTTGTTCAGCATGGGGGTGAGTAGAAAATGAAGGCTAATCATGTTTTGGGTGTACTATCCCTTTAACCGATAAGTCAAATCAAATTCTTGAGCAGTCTTCATAATCCTCTCAAGGCTGCATGCATCACTTTTCCCTGCCGCAATTGTTCCTTCTTATCAGCTATCAAAAACAACGTTTGGTCACAACAGTCAGTAAACAACCGCCTGGTTTAGCAGTCCTCTCCATAACTGCGTCCGCTACTGACCATTTACAGCCTCAGATTACCTTTACATGCGTTTTGAGTTAATCAGCTGTTTGAAGTGCGACATCCTTCTTTTCTTTTTTCTAACTTCTAACAACCTTCATTATCATCTTTAATCCATACTCAACAAAATCACAAGAAATAAAGCCCTGAAATGTTTTAATCAAGGAGAAATAAATTGTTATATTCATTAGTTTCACAAAAAGGCAATTGACAAAACAACAAAAAAACTGACAAATGTTATGAACTCTTTTTTTAGTGGGGTCCTCTAAGAGAAAGGTTTTGGAGAACCAGATATTATCCCAATAATCCAAAGAGTAGAAGTTCAATGTATAATAGCTGCCTATTAGCAAACAGTACTGGGATAATCAGACAAAAAAAAGGTCCAAGGAACTTTGTTTTTGCCTCCTCTTCAGGAGAAACACTGGATTTTATGTTAAGTAAATATGGGCCTCAAATCAACTAACGTACTAAGGAAAAAAATGTTAGCTTAAATGTGTAATTCTGTTTTTTTTCCCTTGCCTTTATTATCTACTTTTCTATGTTTTTTTTCTGAAGCAAATAAACTTGTCTTGCCTTTCTAGCAGTTCAACTGTCAAGGTTTTAATATTATGCTTAATCAGTTTATACATGTCTTACAAAATACATTGCAAAATACTACTAAATAATAATACAATATAGCAACCCTTAATCTAAGATGTATTTTCCATTTTCCAACTCTTATTACTCCACATGGACACATTTCTAACCTTGGGAGAACTTTGAATCATAAATATAACTACTTGTAATCTTAATTTATTTTATCAACATCCTCCTAGTACAGCAGCTCTAACAGTTAAACCTTGTGCTTTTCTGAGGTAGAACTTACTTTTTTGGAGCCATTTTCTGCTCTTTTCCTTGGAGTGGTTTGTTAGATGCAATACCCTATGAATTAAACAAAAACATTCTCAGTGAGCTGCTGAGAGGGCAAAGTTAGCATAGCCCAGGACAAAGTGAAGTACCGTTGCTCCAGAAACACTGAGTGTATACCCCTTTATATTGCATCCCCCATAAGACAACAGTTTCCTTGCATCTTCTTCTTTCTCAAACCGCACACGTGCCTACAGACAAATGAATAAAACCTGCATGTAAACCAAACATTGATATCCCAACAATCGATTTTGTGGTTTGATCTAGATCACATGTGCAACATTATACAGATTTTCTGCAGGTTAAGGAGATCCCTACCTCTAGTCTGGATCTGAACAATGTCAAATTTTTTACTTTCCCGATTTTCTCCATGGCTTCAAGGATGGCAGAGTGGGAAAGATATTTCAAAACGCCAGAGAGTGTCACTTTGTTGAATCCACTCTGAACAAAGAGGATAAGTGAATGAGAGGAAACATGAAAACCAAGACAAAGTCAGATTGTTTTCAAACATGCATCAGGAATCAGGGTTATCTGATTTTTCATTAGTTACATCTGCTCATTAGGCTTGCTAGCTGCCGTAAATGCTTGTTAAATCAAATCACCAACCGAAGAGCTTGTCCTGGTTCTTTGACTGCTGGAGGAAGCTTTTGTTGAGTTGGAGGATGACTTATTTTCTGTCCTCGACGTGGACGAAGATAAGGCAGCATAGGATTTTAAATTAGCCAGCTCAGCCAGTAAGACAGGGGCCAGAGTTTTAACCATGGCCTCCAAGTCCGACTGTGTGGACCGAGAGTGGACAGCTAGAGGTAAGAAAAGAGACAATGGAGTATAACTTTACTGATTATTTGAAATGCTGTAGGGTCAGAAATGTCTTCCGTTTATCTAACCCGTTTCTTCCAGCAGCCTCTTAGTCAGTCTGTCTGCGCTTCTGGACCTCTTATGGTGAGGTTCTGATCCGTCTCCAGAAGACCGCCTTTCATAGTTCCGTCTTGTTGACGAGCGTCTCTCTTCGCTACTCCTTGGAGACGGTCGGTGTTCGTGACTTCTCCTCGGTGAGGACCGTTTGGCCTCCCTCCTACTGGGAGGGGACCTCCTCTCATGACTCCTTGAACGCGAGCGGTGACGAGACGAGACGAGGCGTTCATAGGACCGAGAACGGGACCTGAAAGCAATCATTCAAAAGTTTAAAACCACGGATTTTTGGTCAGTACTTCTTGTAAAGAGTCGTTTTTTTTCTACAAGACCTGAAAGTTTGTCTGGAGGTCTGTGATGACTGTGATCTGCTATCGCGTCTTTCTCTTCTACTGTCAAAGGCACGATGAGGATGTGGACTACGGGACCTTTGAGGGCTAAGCCGTCTGTCTCTTCTGTCCTGTCTTTCCTTTCTGTCCTCTGACTCATTTCGGCGGAGAGGGCTGAGTGAACGGGACAGATTTTCATGTACGGACCTCTGGTGGCGGTGTTGCAAATTCTGGCTGGTTGAAGAGGCAGGCTGGGTATCTTTACCTGGACCACTATAGAGAAAGAAGAATGAGTAAATAAGTTAAGCCTTGGAAACATAGATAAAACTATTTCTCATGACTACTGTTGCATCAATATGAAAATTTAGGCTCTTATTGATGTCACACATTAATACTGTTCCTATGGCTAGTAACCACTATTTCCCTATTTTATGTCATCCCACCTTTTGAGAATGAAAATCAAACATTAAGCTGGAAAACAATCATTAAATACCCCAAGGCCAGCCAAACCTTCCTCCCAAAATGCCAAGAAAATGGAAACAGGTTGGACATACACCGGATGGGACTAATATTACTATGTAAAAGGAAAAAAAGGATTAACATTGACCAGTACTGAGGTTAATGCTGAATTATTATGCGTCCAAATCTACCTCGGGAACTCTGGAGTCTGCCCATCCCACAAAGGGTATCTGTGAAAAAAAACAAAGCGCACCGAATAAAAAATAGAACTTCTGATGGCGGACAAGAACATTTGACACCAAGCCGAGCAGAAAAACAAATATTTCAGGAGCCAAATCGTTGAATTACAAAAATGGTAACATTTAACAAACTGCTCCACTTGAGCAGACAAGTAACAATGATATAAACTTATTTGAAAGAATACCTGTCTCTGATGAGAAAACCTGAAACTTCAGCATCTGGATTGTCTTATTATAATAGACTTTAAACGTATAGTGGAGGATGTTCTATTTTGGGGTGGATCATCAAAATAAGTGGTCCTCCTAATTATCAATCATTCTGGTGATATACGTAACGATATGTTTACGTAAGGCCGCTCTACGTGCTCGTCCACATTTTCCCTTACCGGTGTTTTTTGCCGAGAAGTACCTGCCTGCCTCCCCTCTCGCACACTTATGAGAAAACTGATTAAAATAAGAATAAAAAGATAATTTTTAAACATATCCTTAATGTTTTTCCATTTCTTATGTATGAATGCCCTAAAACTGAGTTTTGTTGGACAGATAAATTCAAATGAATACGATTTTTACTCGTATGGAGACACTTTCTGTCCGATCTGCTCAGTGGATAGCACTTTCCACTTGCTATTAACACGACTCTATGTCATTTCTGACAAAACATTAAGAATATATATCAAAAAAAGTTCCCTTTCACTTCATATTTCAATCCGTTTTCTCATGAATGTGCAAGAGTTTAGGGCGCTTTACGCTCCCGTGATGGAAGTTCTTAGCAGGCAGGTATTTCTCTGCACTTATCTGTCCACCAAAACTCTCAATTTTAGGGTATCCATGCATAAGAAATATGAAAGCATTCAGAATACGTTTAAAAGTTCCTTTTTCATTCATATTTCAATCTGTTTTCTCTTCAGTGTGCGAGAGGTGAGTTAATTATCAGCAGGCAGGTATTTTTTGGCATAACTCCGATGGTGAGTCTTACATAGTGATAAATGCAAATCTTCTGTTGGAAAGTAAGCTTGTATGAGCGATTCAAACAGCAACTTTTAAACAGAGCGTGCACGAGGAGAAATGGGCTAGTACATGCTCTTGCACGTGTTTAATATGCATAAAAAATGCATATGTGCATATGCATTTTTTTTATAAAGTGGAGAGTGCGGGTCTTTTCAAAAATTCACAAAAATCCTCCATTATACCTTTAAATACTCGTGAATGTAGGCGCTGGTTTTAGTAAATTATACACATGGGACAGAAAAATTAGCAATTTAAATAAATTGGATCTGCATGGTAAGATAATATAACATGTACATTAACTAATCGAACAACTATGTATCCTGTGTTGATCCAACTCACTATTGAATATTTTACACAAGTTAAGCTCATTATACAGATATAGTCTTTGAAATTTGAAAACTGACCGTTGCCTTAGCTTTATGCAGTTATCAAGATGAACGCCAGTGTTCCAGTGGTACTGCCAGTCCTGATCAGAACAAACATGTTTTATAAACAACATGAAAAAAAATTGAACAGCAAATCCTATAAAAAAAAATCACCTTCTGTCAAAGGTCAGACATCAGGAAACAAAACCACAAGAAACTTTTAAATATAAAGAAAAGCAAAGCAAACACCAACAAGGCGGTGTGTCATCTGGAACGTAAAGATAATCACATCACCTTTGATGCTAAATACAACTTACAAATGTTGGTCATTGCAACATAAAAACATTTACAAAAAGAAAAAAAGTTTCCTTTTAAGGTTATTAAACTTAAGTGTCCATTTTTAGTCTTGTTGGTTGTCAGAATTTGAGTTTCCAGCTGTAATACAATCCAAGTCGGATCATGACCAAAATATACCAGGCGCTATTGTACTGTAGCTGGGGGGGAAAAAACCTGAGCCCTGCTGTCAGAAAAGGGAGAAAGTCCATCCGTCCAGCATCTCTCTCCACTTTTCCTTGCGGTTCTGGTGCTCATCATCTTCAGCTGTCCTTTGGGCCAGATGAGGGGTACATCCTGGACAGTTCACCGGTCCATCACAGAACAACACAGTCATACAAGACAAACAACCATACACTAACTCATACATAGGGGCACTTTGGAGACCAATTTAGAGAATAGGTGAAGAATTTAAAGTACCCAGAGAACCCGTGTAGTGCATTGAGGACATGTAGACTCCATGCAGTCACCCTGGCTTCAGGATTTGGACCCAGCATCCTCTTTCTTTAGGAAAGCAGTCCTACCAACTGCACTGCCGTGCAGCAGAGACAGCATTTCCATTTCAAAAATAGAGTCCCTTGTCCCACGATTCCTCAGCTGTTCCATATTGTTCTTGTTGAAGTCCAAATTCAACAGCCAAGCCCGAACTTGGTTCCACGTCAATTTAAATGTCATTGTAAAAGTCACAGATCATCTGATTAACATTTGTTTCATGGTTAATAAATATCTCTGTAAGTCCGTTTAAAGAGCATTTTCCGACAAGTGTAAATCCATCAAATGCAGTGAGCTACATTTTTGTACAAAGCCTCAAGTTTGGAACACGGTTATTAGCAAATAAGGTTATACAGTAACTAATGAGACTTCATATTTGCATGAAATAGTGCAGGTTTCATTACCATTAGCTTTGATCAACTGATGCCCGATTAGAGAACCATTTCTTAATCAAAAATAAAGGGAAAAAAACTGTTTGCTCAACAATAAAAAGAGATTATCCACAATACATCAACAACAACAGGATAAAATCTGCGGCCTTCCACTCACCTTCATACTGGTACATTCTTTCATACAAAGACAACAGGTATAAGGGAATACTCTTGGTGTTGCTCCAGCGTAGTCTTGCATCATGGCCCATGTTGGTAGCTTCTTAGACGACCCTGAACAAGTCACGGCATCCCTCTGGCTAGGTTCTCGTAGCTGCTGATGCCTCTGGAGTTGCTGCTTTTGTTGAGGGCTGATCTTTTTCTTATCCCTCATTTTAGGGTTATTTGAAGACTGCTCTCCACTTCTTCTCCAATCGCTGTTGTCAGTCTCAGCATTACTGCCGATAAGCACGAGACCAGGACGTCCAGGGTGTACTCCACGCATCAAATTAGAGGATGGTTTGGACGGCTGGGTTTTGGAGGGTTTCTGGTGAGCTGGTGCTGATTTCTTTAATGGATTAGTTTTGGGGGCATTGGACTTGAGTTTTCCAAAACCACGGTCCTTATTCAATGATCCAAAAGAGGACAACTTGGATTTTGAAGTATGTCCATAATCGATCACTTTACTTGATGAAAAAACTTGGGAAGTCACTTCATCTGGATCCGGCACTGAGCTCCTGGGTGTGATCGGCATGTCCAATTCTCCCATACTTCCGATAGTTTGAGATTCATCGTAGGGATTTGAAGTTCTCTTTACCTTCTCCAGATGAATTTGCCTTAGGATGAAAGGAAGGTTCTGGGGAGTCAGCTGGTCTTCCGGATAGGAGGACAGTTGATCCAAGTCTTCTCTGTAAAGTCCAAACTGCAGCAAGATCTTTGTGGCAAATTCTGAAGTGTAACTGGGCTGAATGGTCTCCTGAGGAGTCCCACGTTTGTCCAAAAAAGATGTACCATAACCCCTCAGGCTTCCCGTTGTTTGGATCCTACTGCTTTGAAAGCTTGATGAGATGACAGGTGAGTGCGCTTTTGGCAACTCTCTCTTTGATGATGTTTGGCATATTGGTAACCAGTCCAGATTGCTTCCACCACTGTCCATATTTAGGGCTCCCACTTGAGCTGGAGCAGACATCAAAAAGGAGTTTTTCCCTGTGAAAGAGGAAGAAAATGTGTCCTTTTGAACATTAGTAAATTGGGGACTCTGGCTGGCAGAATATTGCATCGCTGGCTCCCTGGCTCTGCTGATATTCAGGTCCACATGTCTTTCCATGTCCTTATCCACTGTTGTCCCAATCTTCTCAGGTCTGTATTTCACTGGCAAAGACAGAAGGGACGGTATAGGTCTTCCAGGGGGCCCACAATTGCTGGAGGAAGATCCAGAAGAGGTATAGCTGGAACCAGAGCCACAGTGAGGCTGTCCCCTTTGAGGATCTCTCTCCATTTGTCCACCAGAGGGTCTGTATGGCCCCACGGGGGACATCTGGTTACCAGGGGCAAAGGCATTATACCTCGGATGTGACATGGTGTTAGCAAACTTTGGAAAGTCCAAGAGATTGATGGCCACAGCAGTCAGTAAAGGTAGTTGTGTGGATAATCCCCGAGCGGGTCTGGTGGGAGTTTGCTGTCAAGGTCACAGCACAGCCACAAGCAGCGAGAACATCATTTATATCAAGATGGAGCCTGCCCTCCCGTGACAACCCCCCGGGAAGCCCTCCAACATAGGGGGGCTCCTTAGGTGCAGAGGAGCAGGACACGAGGTGCAGTTCTACAACAGTAAAGAAAAGCTGAAAAGTTTAAATGGACAAAGAATTGGGTTAGTGACTGGAACTTAACTTAAGCTTTGCAGCAAAAAGAAATCCAACATCTGGAGGGTCAAAGCAATTAGCTAACTCCTCTGTTAGCTACACAGATTTCTTTCCACACAAGTTTTAGGTCTTCATTATTAAGTGGCATAAGGGGTAAAGACATTAAAAATAGATCACTGAAAGACCTTCAGAGTGATTAATACATCACTAATTTTTTTTTTATTATTATTTCAACCCTTTCGGTGGAAAAAAAAACCTGACTCTCCTAAGGGGCAGTATAGCTATATAAAAAGTGATCTATGGCGATCAATTTCCCTCCAAGGACTTCCTCTCTGGGAAAGCACTAGTTAGACTTAAACTCATTCCCAGCTACATAATTGTTTGAATTTGGAAGTATGTTCTCATTAACGTTTAATAGGGAGGTCAAATGTCCAGTAGCATTGGGCTGTTTGCATGTTAGTTGGTTAGCAAGTTTACAGAAAATACGAATGGAAGAATACTAAGAATTTTTTTTAACCAAAAGTGCATCTCAGCCCATATTAGAATACTTTCAATTTTGGGAGGCACTCTTCATTTTCATTACAGATTAAAGTATTCTCCTCGTATCAATAATGGATAATTCATGAGAAGTCGAGATGTGGATACTGACTATCCTGAGTTATCTCTATAGTTATGCTGCTATAGGCTCAGACTTCTGGAGGACATAGGGACCCCTATTTCATCATTCTATCTCTATTTTCCCGCCCTGCAGAATCTGCAAGTTCAATCTCTAATAGGGGTGTGGGAAATAATCGTTTTGGCGATATATCGTGATATTCGGCTGCCCAATATAATATCGATCTTTCACTTCTTAGTATCGATTTTCAAAAAAAAAAATGGTTACACAAAACATTGATGGGAAAATGGGCTACCTCTGCACCACCACTCTGGCAGAAAGCGCTGTGGAGCCGTTTAACTGTGCGTGCAGCACCAAATCTGTATTTGAGGCAGTCACAGTAGAAGAAAACCCCAAACAACATGGATAATAATACCTAATCAATATTTTCTGATGAAAATATACAGCACTTGCTGTTTTATCTCATCATTTGATTTTGATAGCTAGGGAAAATATGGCAATATATAGTGATACTGCAATGTCGTGATAACATCGTATCGTGACCCAAGTATCGCGACATGTATCGAATCGCAACACTCATGCCAATACTCACCTCTAATCTCTAATATTCTGCTCTCTCTGCTTTTTCTCATCATAGTAGCTATGCCTCATCTTTTCCTGTTTGGCTGTGACTCCATCCTGCTGAGAAATATCAGCTGTGCTGCTGCCATCAACACCTTTGTTTAGATGTTCGAAATTCGCCTGTTTTTCAGCGTAGCCCTATTTCTTTGACTGTGACTGGCTGGATGTGCTCTCTTCATCCTGTGATATGGGAGCTGACTCGGAGCTCGTCTGCCTGGCTGTGTTTCCTGCCTTTTACAGCTGCCTCTTGTATCTCTGCTTCTGTCTCCTTGAACCCCAGTCGGCCTCAGCAGATGGCTGCTTACACTGAGCTGCTTACACTGCTACTCTGCTGGAGGTTTCTTCCTGTTAAAAGGGAGTTTTTCCTCTCCACTGTCGCCAAAAGCATGCTTAGTTATAAGGGATTGTCTTCGACTCAATGCAATCAACTGGTTTTCCTTAGAAAACCTTTAATCAATTTGACTGTATGATCTGGTGAACTGTTAAGTGCTTTGAGATGACATGTCTTGTGAATTGGCGCTATTTAAGTAAACTGAATTTAATTGACTCACTCTGGTTAAGACTAAATGCTAAAATTAAAATAAAAAAGTAGTGGCAAAACTAATACATGTTCAAAAATAAGAACAAAAACAATTAAATTAACCTGTACAGTAGAAGGGCGACCTGTCCAGGGTGTACCCCGCCTCTCGCCCATTGACTGCTGGAGATAGGCACCAGCACCCCTCGCGACCCCACTTGGGACAAGCGTGTAAAGAAAATGTATGGATGGATGGATGGATGGATGGATGTACAGTAGAAGAAAAAAGAAACCCTTTCCTTGAAGGAAAAAAAAATGTGCAGTGGTTAAGAAAAAGGGCTTTTCAAAGTAAGTTAAAAAATGGACAAAATAGAAAAAAGTTGTAACTATGCTGTGCAATAAACACAGTTATTAATTTGAGGCTGTGTGGACAGTCAACAGGCAATGAAAATTGATCTTTGGGGAAAAAAATAAATAAATCTCATGGCATTTTCAAATACCTTGATTCCTTATTATATCAGTAATTTTTCGGTGTAAACCCCTCTCTTTAAGGTATTAATAAGTAACCGGTTTAAAAATGTGAGAAATGCTTTTGTTTTTAGTTGTTTGCTAAATGATAGTGAACGGTATAACTAACACAAAAACAAAAATCGAATTAATTATAGTAATTTCTTCTGTAACGCTTATTAGCCATTTCGTTGATAGTGTTATGTATCATTGGAGGTCTTTGTTTTCCAGGTAAAATATGAAGGGAATTGTTGTTGGGGTTTTTTGGGCAGGCAGCACTATGGTCAGCTAGATGGGTCCTCATGTGACAGGGAGAAGAAGAAGAAATAACAGGTTGGTAATCCCCCTGTATCAGCCCAGTGCTGTCGGGGAGCACTGAGGAAGAAATAAAGCTCCGGGGTTTATGTTAAGCATCACAAGAGGCTGTGTTAGAAACCAGTCGATGTAGTAAACTCTATTCGGCAGTATAAACAACTCTCAAAATATCAGCAAAATTACCGAGAAATGCGATAAAAACAAATACAAAAAATAAAAACAAAAATCACGCAATCCAACGGAAATGTCGCATCATCTCAGTTTTAAATTGCAGTAAGAACGGAGTCATTTCCCTTCGGTTATATGGAATATGCACCAATGTTAAAAATGTATAATATATTAAGCTTAAGACACAAGCTAATGCTAAAACTTGTTTTAGCAACTGGTCTAAAAATCGTCACATGCAAAACCGATGATTTCTCATCAATCCCAGCTTTTACATCCACGTTAGTTACATACCACTCAGCCTTTGGGTAAATATTCCACTTATGGCCAACTAAAGCAGCTCCAGAGGTTGATTAAAGAGTTTTATTAGTAGCTCCTCAGTTAGCTTCCTCGGTGGTTAGCCTTCTGACACAGATGAACCCAAACGACTTCCCTGTATTTCCGGTTTGGGAACCTTCAGTGTAAAAGCCCAAATGATCGAGCTCACACCATTTGAATTTATCAATTTCCACTGAGTGGTTTATAAAGCTGAACAAAGAGTCTTTATCTTGTGTACGGAAGAGGATTATGGCCACTGAAAAAAAGAAAAGTGAACAAATTTTTAATATATTTTAGTTTAATATTCTGACTTTAACCTCAGAGTTCTGAGGTTAAAGTCATGTCTAGAGACTAAATTGACTGCTCTTATTTTAATGAAATGGCCTCAACAGGGACCCCTCAGGCACGTAAAAAGTGCCTAATTCCATAATTTTCATCCAATGTTACTGGCCCTCCCAAACAACTCGCATCTTTTTAGTGAAGCTGAGTCCTCCTACGTGTCTTCCTTCGGGGTTCCCTTTAAGATTAAGATCCAAAAATATGAGATTAAAGTCAACATTCTGAGATTAAATTTAGCATTCTAAAATTATAGTCAGAATTTTGTGAAGAAAAGTCAGATTTCTGAAATTAAAGTCAGAATTCTGAGAACAAAAAGTCAGAATTCTGAGATTTAAGTGAGCATTCTGAGAATAAAGTAAGAATCATGAGATTAAACTCAAAATTCTGAGAAAGAAAGTCAGCATTCTGAGATTAAAGTCAGAATTCTGAGAACAAAAAGTCAGAATTCTGAGATTTAAGTCAGCATTCTGAGATTAAAATCAGAATCATGAGACTAAAGTCAGCATTCTGAGATTAAAGTCAAAATTCTGAGAAAAAAAGTCAGCATTCTGAGATTAAAGTCAAAATTCTGAGAAAAAAAAGTCAGAATTCTGAGATTAAACTCAAAATTCTGAGAAAAAAAATCAGCATTCTGAGATTAAAGTCAGAATTCTGAGAACAAAAAGTCAGAATTCTGAGATTTAAGTCAGAATTCTGAGATTTAAGTCAGCATTCTGAGAATAAAGTAAGAATCATGAGATTAAACTCAAAATTCTGAGAAAAGAGTCAGCATTCTGAGATTAAAGTCAGAATTCTGAGATTAAAGTCAGCATTCTGAGAATAAAGTAAGAATCATGAGATTAAACTCAACATTCTGAGAAAAAAAGTCAGCATTCTGAGATTAAAGTCAGAATTCTGAGATTTAAGTCAGAATAATTTCCCCCCCCCCATATTAGACAATTTAAAAATCTTTTTTTTTTTTTTGGCCCTAATACTTGTGCTTGTGAGAACAACAATCCTGCAATTTTACCTGGAACTGTTGTGTAGAAAATGGGGCAAGCTGTGGCAATCCGTCTTGTCTAAAGGGTCAAAATAACTTTGGGGCAGGTTTTATCAAAGTGGTTCTACCTGATGTTTTGTTGTTCTGGTTTTGATAAGACACAACTGTCTTAAAACAGTTTTACATATAAATCAGCGTTTCTTTAAGCACACACACCTTTTAATAAGGCATAATGGCTATAGATATATATGCAAGTAAGCATAGACTGTAGGAAATTGTTTCACAGAAAAAATACAACCTGCTGAAAGCAAACTGGAGGGACCTGCTGCACTGCTGGTTTTACAATAAATTAGATGTTCGATGGCAAATGCATCCGCTCTTCTTTAGAGGTCTCCTATTCTCACCACAAGGTTCTACCAGATATTTTCAACAAATATCTAACCAAATTGTATGTTTTCCTCATACTGTATTTTTTCCCCAAATCCAAACATATTAAGACTATAGAAGATATCAACCGAATCATATAACCAGACTTGGATAGAAAGCATCATTTAAGGAACGTCTACAGACTACTGCATAAACCATGAGGTTACCATCAGCCTTTAATGTTTATAATAGTAAATAGCCAGGATGCAGTTATACAATTATTTTATATGAATGTAGTATTTAGGCAACAGGTAATATTTGATATCTTTTTTAATTCAACCATTATACACGTTTTATTTGCAAGGAAAGGGATATATTGCTCCCCCACCTTATAATCTGCAGCATTGTTTCATTTGGAAACTGCATTCCTCCAGTCGTATGCCGCAGTTTTGACAAAGGTCTTCTGGGTTGAGGAATAATAGAGGCTTAAACTCTTCCAAAAGTAGCAAAAATAAATAACTCCCACTACATATAAGAAGTAACTTTAAAGGAAAGATATGCATAGCGCCAGTAAAGACAAACCTATGTTTTTGTTTTTTTACACACACTGATGACATTTTAGACCCATTTTAATCCATTCCCACCACTTTTAAATAATCTCCGTCATCAACAAAACAAACAAAATGTTTAACGTGTTTAAACCTTTACTTTATCTCACACTGACAACAAAAAAACAAAACAAAACGCTTTGTATAAAAGCGTCTGCTAAATACATAAACATGGATTTCCTTAGCTGAAACTATAAATTTTAAATGTAAAGAAATTAGTGAAACAAGACATTGGACCCTCCATTAAAGAGAAAATCGACCGTATGAACAAAACGAAAGGACTCAACACAATTACTTCTCTCTAAGAAACTGAATACTATCAGTTTTCTTCATCAAATCAAGTACCTTTTGCATTTTTATGTTATGCTAACAAAGCTGAAAGTATTTCAACAGAAAAGTTAAGAACTACTGATACTCTGAGCATCAAATTAATGTGGAAAAGTTAAATCTTAAAGTTGTAGAATAAAGCCATCAGTTTAGATCAAAAGAAAATATCCCACGTTCTGTTTGTGTAACTTAAATTGTCAATAATTATTTGCACATGTAAGGAACAAAATTAGTCTATATTTGCAACTCTTGTCAAATATAAAACCTAAACCCAAGAAGGCACGAATACTTAAGAAACACAGAACAGTTTAAGACAAAAAAAATAATTAAGGATCTCAATTTTCCAGCTCAGAGATATCGATACCATCATGGCTCATTCCAGTGATAGGTAAAGCTTTAATGTTTTCACATAATAGGAAAGTAATCTGAAGTCTAAGCTTCTCAGTCAGAGAGGGAAGCTTCCACATCTTGAGCTGACGTTAGCTGAGGTGTCTGTTGAAGTCTTTGATTATGTTTCTGAGAAAGAAGAAAAAGGGAGAATAAGAGACCAATTATGAATTGATATTATGAACAGTGTGAATCCAAGGACATGTTTGTTTGTACCAGCAGGTTGTCATAATGTTTCTGGCTGCTGCAGTGGACTTCCATGGCAGTGGTCTCATTAAAGTAAAAGATGGAGCACAAATTACAGTAAAATCCGGACTTTGGAACCACATATTCCTGACCTGGAGAGAAGGAAAAAAAAACCTGTATGAAAGGGTGTACATTTTGGTTTGGCGTCTTAGTTTTTAATGGCTTTTTTTTTTTTTTTTGTAAAATCTGTGCGTTTCTCACCACAAGGGCCTGTGGAATTAGAAGGCGTCAGATGGAGGTCCACAGGGACACCTGGAGACTGAGAACGTGAACGCTTGGCTTCAGGTCCAGAAACCTCCTGCTTCCGTTTATCCCCGACTAAAAAAAGAAAAAGAGAATGAAGACATCGCACCATTTTAAATAATTTTCTATAAAATTTATATCTAATTAGTAATATGTATTTGTTATTAACTGGGTATACCAGGTAGCTGCAGATTAACTCTACAGGGATTAAAGTATCCCAGCTCATAGAGATTTCCTGTTGGTTAAAAAAAAAATAAAAATAACTAGAAAATAAATTGACGGAAAATAAATAAAAAAGACAATCGAGATCCCTCTTGCGTTTGACAGCCAATGGTAGCAAAGGAGCGCTCTGAAACTAACAGTATTAGCCAATCAGAAGAAGAAGGGGGCGGGTCTTAGGAAAGCGTGTCCCTCCTCTCGTTTCTTGCTCAAATCGCCAGATTGTGGTGCAGTGCTGATGTTCTACACTGAAAGTCACCTTGCGCCATTTACGGCTCCATTCAATGTAGAGACGTGTAAAAAGTCAAAGAAATTAAATAAACGAAATTTTGTGTTTGGAGAGAAGGAAGATGGAGTGAACAGAATTAAATGGAGTGGTCACAATGCAGTGAACTATGGAGAAGATGCCACAACCATAAAGATGAAGGTCTCAAAATAAATGGCACAGAGCATGGCTTGAAAATACACACACACAAACATAAATATATTTTTTATACCTTGTATTATAATAGTTCTGTTACTGTCTAGCAATGTGTGGATCCTTATTGATCCTCTATAGATATATTTCTGAGTAAAACCTCTTAAAGGAATAGTACACCCAAAACATGATTAGCCTTCATTTTCTACTCACCCCCATGCTGAACAACACTCTGGAGTACTTTTTTGATATCTCAAATGCATCTGGAGATCTGGGAGGCTTCTTGCTGTCTGCTGACATTCAAATAATGGAGGTCTATGGTGACCGAGACAGAAAGGTCCATAAAAGTCCACAAAAAACGTGTCAATATTCCTCCATACTGCTCGTCCAATGTATTCCAAGTGTCCTGAGTGGGTAGCATCCAGAATTTACTCGAAACGAAGTCATTTAGAATGTTTTTAGAGCATAAACAGTAGTGTATAGGATAGCCTGAAAGCGCGCACATGCGCGTTCACGACGCTACGGAACCCGGCAGACCAAACCAGATGAAAGTGCGCATTCAGCGTCTGCTCTGCCGATAATGCAAGCGTAGAAGAAGAAATGTGCTGTTTACCTGTGCAAAGAAAGAAACAACGAAAGAAAAATGTCTGAGGACTTCAGTGTTGAGGAAGAGCATGAGTTCTTTGCCGAGCTGAATGTGCACTTTCATCTGGTTTGGTCCGCCGCGGTTTCCGTAGTGTCGTGACCTCGCAGGCGCGGGCTTTCAGGCTATCCTATACACTACTGTTTATGCTCTAAAAACATTCTGAATGACTTCGTTTCGAGTAAATTCTGGATGCTACCCACTCACGACACTTGGAATACATTGGACGAGCAGTATGGAGGAATATTGACACGTTTTTTGTGGACTTTTATGGACCTTTCTGTCTCGGGCGTCATAGACCTCCATTATTTGAATGTCAGCAGACAGCAAGAAGCCTCCCAGATCTCCAGATGCATTTGAGATATCAAAAAAGTACTCCAGAGTGTTGTTCAGCATGGGGGTGAGTAGAAAATGAAGGCTAATCATGTTTTGGGTGTACTATTCCTTTAAGTTGTGTCCATGTTATTTTTGAATTATCAAATTAAAGACCTAGTAAATCTGAGTAAATCTAAGTGAATTGTTCGATGTAAGAAAATTGAGAAACTTCTAAGAGTAATACTTTACAGCATGAACGTTTGCGTAATAATAGTAGGAATCTATAGAACCGTACTCTGTGGCGTTTATAAGACAACACAACATATCACAGATATATCACCACTGCAGCATGCAACAATTATATATCACAAATGAATTGTTGGATAATATATATTCTGTTTTATGAACTTGGATTTTTCATGTCAATATAATACTAAGAGTGAGTAGGGAGCAGAAGCTCACCCAGACACTTATGTTACCCAAAAGGTGCACGAGGGAAGAAAAAAAGCACAACTGATGTGGTTATAGAAAGCTTTTCTTATATCATGCAGTCCCTAAAGTTGAGCTTTTTGTGTACCTTTAACACTGGGTCTGCTGTGCTCTTGCTTCACTTCCTCAATTCCTTCTGCTTTCTGTCCATCAGGACCGTCAGTAAGGGGCTGAGGTTCTGCAGAAGCAGCTTCAGAGTGATTTTCCTCATCTATGTTCTGGCTCTCAGGCTGATGGTCACCAGACGGACCAGGCGTGGATTCTTCCACAATCGGGGAGGAATCAAGTGAAGCAGGTGGGAGGGATTTGTTTTCTTCTTCTTGTCTTTGATGTTCTTCCTTCACCCCTTTTCCTCTGGTAGATTTTCTACCTATTAAAACAAAAACAGAAAATGAATCGAGTTTCATATTTTAGGCCCTGATGAAATAATAGCCTTCTATTTTCTGCTACCAGGAGTCTGTCGACTTCTCTTCCTGGGTCGACCTCTTGTTACTGTTTCCTTTTCTTCCTTTTCAACCTCTCCCAGCTCATCGACAGTCACAAAGTTGCCACTTTCCTCTAAAACGAAAGAATAAAAACATTTTCAAGCTCCAGTTCCGACCATGTTCTCGCCTGTACACACCGTTTTGTTCAAAAATGTAACTACGAACAAAATTTAAATTAAGAACAAAGCACAGATTTAAGAAATATTACATTTTACAGCTTAAGATACAACACCAGTAGGCAGTTTTGTCAGCAGGTGGGGTAGCTGTTCTATCATGAGGCAATTAAACCTCACTCCTTCAAATAGACTTAGGTTTAAGTTAGACTTTATTAATAATTAAGATATTATACCAAGCCAGAGCAGCACTAATACAAAACATATTCAACACAAACTTAAACCAAAAGAGTGAAGATAAAGTCTAAAGTGTTTGATAAAGTATGATACAAACCTGTGTTGTCACTTTGTTTGCGTTTAGAAGAGCTTGGAGGTTGTTTTGTTTCCTCATTGTCATCTTTCTTGTCCTCAGTTTGGACCGTTTCTGTTAAAGCTGACAAGGTCTGAAAGGAGACAAGCTGGTGAGATTCGATATGCTATCTGCTAAACTTAATTTGAATTTGCTCGATCTCAACCCCACCTCTGGCGTCACAGAGTCCACTGGCTGGTTTTCCGGACTCTGAGGCAGGGTTTCAACCTGTCCGTCCTCTTCCTCAGCGATCTCATCCAGGGTAACCAGCTCCAGCAGTTCAGCCTCGCTGATCTCCCTGTGCCACGTTGGAGCCTCTGGCAGACCCTCCTCTCCGACCTCATCCTCTCCCACCTCATCCAGAGTCACGAGATCCTGCTTGTCTAAATCCACCTTTTCCAGATCCTCCTGACACTTCTTCTCCGTCTGGTTGCTGGGTTTTCCGCTCCCTCCCCCTCTGCTACTGCTGCGACTTCTTCGCTCCCTAGCTTCTCTTTCCCTGGACCTTTTCTCCTCTCTGTCAGTTTCTCGTTTCCTAGCAGCGGCTTGCCTTTTCATAAGTTCTTTTTCCTCAGCGGCATCATCAGGATAATCTTCCTCCTCTTCGCTAACTTGATCCAGGTTCACAAGAACATTTTCCTTTGATTTTGCCTCATCTCTCTTTGCTGACTTTAACATCTTGTCTGATACTCCAAGGTTTCTATCCGGCTTATTTAAAGGTGGCCTGTCTACTTTCTGAACATCTGCTTTTGATGTAATTCCCTTCTTCTTGGTTTCAGGTTTTTTAACAGATGGATCCTCTTTAACTTCCGATGGTTTGTCGGGTGACTGCAGCAGCGTGTTCTCCTGTCCACCAGTTTGTTCTGATAGTTCTACAGTTGAGCTACCAGACGGTAAGTGATCAGTATTCTTTACCATATCGTCCTTTGTCTCGCTCTCCTTCTGCATGGATGTTTCCGTCATCAGCCCATCTTGGAACTGCTCTTCTTCCAGTGAATCTACAACCTGGTAAATTGGCTCTTCTTCCTCCTCATTTAAAGGTAACCCTACTAATTCCTTAGCTGTGTCCAACTGAGGAACATCTGATTTTGTTGCACTTACAGACTCGTCTAGACGAGTTAGGTCATCCTCAACAGAGTCAAGAATTTTAAATGAATCTTCTTCAACAGTGTTGATCGGTGAGTCACCCTTTTTCAAATCCGCTGTTTGTTGTTTAGTTGCGTTATTGTCTTTCTTCGGTCTTCCTCTCCTTGAGGTTTGTTTCTTGACAATCTCTTCCTTAACAGCACCCAATGTTTTATGAGCAGTGCTCTCTTCACTTTTGTGCCTTGTGTCGCTCATCTTTGTCGGTGTACTTTCCTTCGAAGAAACTCCAACATCTGTTTTCGTAGATTTCTCTGTCTCTTTTTCCTTGGAATCTCTGGCTGGTGTGCGTCTTCTCGGGGTCTTATTGTCCCTTGTTTTGGCATTTTCTTCCACCTTCTTGGTTGCGTTTTCTTTTCTTCCTCTAGTAGATCTTGTTGTCACTGCTTTGTCCTCAGGTCTCTCATCTTCCACAGAGTCTAAAACTGTGAATATTTCCTCTACTTTCTCAGACGTTTTAGGTTCTTCTACCTGAGCTAAGATCTTTTCATCCGTTTTCTTTCCTCTAGCTGACCGTCTCCGACCTGTATTGGTTGAGGCCTCTTGAACAGCATCATCTTCAATAGAGTCCAAAACCTCATAGACCGGCTCCTCCAAATCTTTAACACTCATTTCCTCTTTTTTCGTCTTGCTTGTTTTCGTTGTAGGCTTCTTCGTTGCCTTGTCCAGTTGCTTAGTTGGTTTGTCTTTTTCCTCACTTTTAGATGTTCTGCTCCTTGAGCGACTCTCTCTTGTTCTGTAATCTCCAGATCTGGTTGTTCTTTCTTTATCTGTTCCTTCTTTCTTCTCAGGTTCAGATTCTACAGTGGCTTTTGTTGGAGGATCTTCCGATGAGTCTAAGGCTCGATAAACCTCTTCCTGTAATTTGTCCTCTGATTTAGCCAGTTGGTCAGTGGGATCTACAAGCTTCTGGTCTTTTAAAGTGTCTTTGCTGGCACCGGTTTCAAGAGGCTGGTCTTCATTAGATATCTGACCATCCTCTTTGGAGGTTTCACACACTTTCTCTGATAAAAGGATTCCTTCCTTTGGCTTTAGGGTTGATGCATCACCACCACTATTTGGAGTTGGATTGGTGTCCTCACTTGTTTCTTTATCTCTATCAGATGTAACACTGACTGATGATTCTTGAGGTCTGTGGATTTGTTTAGCCTCATCCCTTTCAGACACCTGCATCACTGTGGGACCTTCATCTCCATCATCAGCTGTAGTTGCCTGCTCTACAGGTGTAATGTCCTGCGGCTTGGTAGACACATCTATTTCCATTTCATGGCTATCATCTAACTGGGCCCTGGCAGTATCAGCCCCTTCCACAACCTCAAGACCACATTGATGAATGGTCTGGTCCTTCTCTGGTCCAGGTATTTGGGTTTTAGTCTTTTTTCCTTGGTCATCCTCCTTGTTTTCCAGATCGAATTTTTCACTGACAGAACCAAGGGTTTGTTTACTATTATTGTTACCTCCCTTTTCCTCTGTTTTTTTCATATTAGTGTCAATCTTCTTACCCTTCGCTTTGCCTTTCTTCATCTCTTTGACAGATTTTTCCTTAGGATCAGTCTTCAGATTCTGGATTTGTAAGGCTTCTCCCTCTGTAAGCTGATTCTTCTCTGATGGTTTTATTTCCGATTGTGACTCAACATTATTTGCAGCACAGTTCTCTGCTGACACCGTGTGGTCAGACTTCGCTACTGAACTCTCTGCAGGTTTTGAATCCTTTTCATGCACCCGATGAGTTTCTACAGATGATTTGATGGCTGCTGCTGATGAACGGGTATTTTGACCTGATGAGGAGGGTTCTGATGATTTGCTAACAATCTTTCTCTTGTTTGACTTAGCTTTCTGACCAGAGGTAGAAGGAGTTTCTACAGATTTGGAACTGGTGGAAGCTTTACAGCTATTAGCAGGTGAAGTTTTGGTTTCAGATTTGTTGGATTCAGAGTTTGTTTGTTTGTTTGCAGACACAGAGCTGGAACTCTGAGATATATTCTCTTTTTCAGACTTGGATGAGGAAGAGGCTGAGTTGGATTCTTTTGAAGACTTTGAGGGTTTTCTAATATCAGAGGACACATTATTTGTCTGACCTTCTGTTTCACTCCAGGTAGTTGGCTCTAATGAAGAGGAGTAACTTTCTACAGCCACTTCATCCATTTCTTCATTAATTTCATCAACAGTCACAAAGTCTGCAAAGTCGAAGGGAAGCTCATCATAAAAATCAGAACTATCATCCACATCTTGGCTTTCATCCTGAATGGAGAAGAAATGATGACAGTTTGACATTTTATTCACAATAAGAGAAAGTCGAGTGTATAATTAAAAAAAGAAAAAAACAACTGATTGTAAGATTTTTTTTTTTTTTTAGTAAAATGATAATCAAAATATTAGGCAGAACGTGAGGAAGATTATATCAGAAGTAGTAAGCGGTGTATTACCTTTGTGAGTGGTGCCCTTTCCTCCTCATCACCTTCAGAGGCAGTTCTTCTGAATGTAGCCCTCTAAAAAGTAAAAGTTTAATTATTTTATCAATTACTTTAGGACTTTTGAACCAAAATTATTTTACGTTTCCTGTTGGGTTGACTAAAAAAGCAGCTTTACAGTTCTGTACTAAGAGAAAGTATTCTAATATGATGCTTTTAACTCAGTGTTTCTTATTAAAGTATAATTCTACTACAGGATTGCCAAATTAGCTGTACGTAAGTAAACTTCTAGATGGAGTTAATAGCCTCACCTCCTTTTCCTCGCTTGTCTTTTTTTTGATAAGTCTGTGTTCTTGAAGTGCTGTGGTGAGGGCCTTAAAAATCTCTTCATCGATATGAGGAAGTTCAGCAGCAACTTCCTCCGATTTGCCAGATTCTGTGACTGACATGGTGGTCGTGGAAGGAGCAGGCGTGGCTTTCTTTGAAGCAGTGCTGACTGGAGTACTTTGTGACCGCCTCTTCTCTGTATTCTTAATGGGCTTTTGAGACGCAGTCGAGAGGGCAACATTCTCCTTTAAGTGTGTTTCAGCCTTTGAGTCTGAAACTGTTGATTCTACTTTGACAGGATGTGATGAGTTGGGTTCGGTAGAGACTACTGGAGATGGAGAAACTGAGGCGGGGGTTTGCAGCGTAGGTTGTTCATCATTAGCAGAATATTCTGAAGGAGGCTGTAAAGAAAACAGGAAGCTAACATAAACAATCCAAAGATACAAAGGGACAAATTAAACCTTTAAAGTAACTAAAGCTGTCTAAAATTTATTGTTAAGAAAACCTATTAAGGTTTACCATGAACACATATGGTGAAAGAGTCCAGATCAGCTTTACGTCATACTTAAATATGTCCATTTTATCCAAGTAGAAAGGCTATTGAACCATTTAGAGCCATGAGGCTATTATTTTGGTATTAAAACCTTACCTGTTTCACAAACACTGTAACTTTTGAAATAGGTTCAGATGTCCTTTAATATTTGTGCTTTTATTTACATATGTTGCTAATAAAACCACCTGATCAGGGTCTACTGGTGACTAACTGTAACGCATCCATCCATTTTATAAATGGTGCATCGTCTCTAGCTAAATAAATATCCAATTAGTCATACTGGCAAATAATTTCACTATAAGCATTAAAGTTGACATTAATGATCATGTACAAAATGGGACCTATGATTTTTAAAATAAAACAAATGCAAACAAAGGTTGGGTGTTCCCTTCCATGTGTTTCGTAAACACAGTCCTAAAACGTGAAATAAAACACCTACCATTGACAAAGCGCCAGTTTCCATCGGTGTGCATTCTGCAAATTAAGTTATTTATCAAAATATTAAATACAGTTCAAATTACATAATGATCAAATGTAGGAGTTATTTCATAGGGATCCTACTTATTTCTTCTAGCGGCTCCTGCTTTTCCATCTTCACCACGACTGTTGGGGAGGAAACGTCGGCTTCTGTTTCTGCTGCATCTGCAGGGTTTGCTTCAGCAGGTCTGGGTTCATCAGACTTCACAGCCTGATTGTTGCACACAGGTTCTGGTTCTGGACGGCTTTCTGCATCTGTTAAAGAATTTAGAAAATAAAATTAAGTCAAACAATGATGTTTTTACACCATACTGCTAATAATTAAGGAAAAAAAACACCCAAATTAATATTCAGGAACATGTTTAACCTTTTTTTAACCTTCCGAATGTTTTCCTCTGTCTACCTGCTTGTTTGGTCGAATAAAGCAAAGCTTAGATCCACATCAAATAGATCCAATAGAACCATTCATTTACAGATATTTTATGTAAATAATTCATTTTCTAAATTATCTTTATTCAAGCAGAAATGCTAGAAAAATAGAATTATTGAATATTTAACCGTATTATTATTTTGTTTTCTTTTTCTACAAAAACTAAGGGTTGCAAAGAACTGTTTTGGGGTTTCCTAGAAATGCTTTTTTTGATTAGCAATTAAAAGGAGATTTGCTAAAGAAAGCTAAATCAAAACAATACAAAAACAAACATTAAACCATTTGTAATTCATTCAGTCCTTCGCAATTTAATCATCCAGGTAAAAAATAAATAAATTAATAAAAGTTTAGTAAGTCTTCTAAATGGGTTCCCCTTTGTTGGAATAGTTTGTCGCTTTTCCAAGTAAAAATGAACCAGTTGAAGCACCGCGCAAAATGTACGGCTTCTAAGGATGAATTTACTTCTAACTCCTCAGTATGAAGAGGATTCTTGGAGAAGAGATGTAACTTTTTAACACATAAAACCCATCCAAAAGACTTTCTAAACCTTATTAGATAAAAGTACATATATGTCCTTTTTTAACAATCCCATCTTTGTGTCACTGGGGGCACATTTAGAATAAAATTAGAAGAAATCTTTAAAGTAACCGTTTAGAATCTACCCACCCGTCTCTAACATGGCCTCCTGCTTTGTCTCCATCCTGTCTGATGACTCCTGTTGCTCAGTTTTTGTCTCTATCTTCTCTGTGGGGATCTCCGACTCCTGGACCTGAGGCGGGTCCTCCACAGCCATTTCTTCAACTTTAATTGAAGTTTGAGGCACCTCAGGTGGATCAGTTTCAGTTGGAGACATGGAGGGTGGGCTTTTAACGCCAGCTACTGGTTGACACTCTGTTGGTTTTTGCAAAGCTTCTGAAACTTGGTCTTTGGACTCGGCAGAACTAATAACCTCCAATTGCTCTGCTGGTTCAGTTTTATCAGGTTCAACATTTTCAATTTGTATTCTTTCCGGTTCCCCTTTTTCACACTCTTCTGGCTGCTCCTGTTTAGAAGCTCCTTCTGTGTCCACAGTTTTGGTGATGTTCTCTGGAACTGAGATTTGTTCTTCACCTTCTGCTACGGCATCAACAGGCGGTTGTTCAGAAGCTGTAGATTCAGGTACCGACTCCTTTTCAGTCAGGGTGTCTGGTTGGGTTCCAGCTTCCTCAATGTTTGGTGTTGGTTCTGCTTCAGGAGCTGCATCCATAGGCTCAGCAGCTATGTTCTCCTCTTGAGTTTTTTCAGCAGTTTTATCCGACTCCTCCGCGATTTCAGCTGCTTTGCTCGGTGCAGCTGCAGGTTTCGCTGCATCACTTTCAGGTTTTGTCGTTATTTTGTCTTTAGGATCATCAGATTGGGGTACATTTACTGGACGTTGGGGTTTTTGCACCGCTGGGCCCTTCTTTTTAACTTGAACAGACGTCCCAGCATTTTTTCCACCTGTGTTGGATTTTACCTGCTTGGGGGCGACACCCTTCCCTGTAGTGAGAGGTTGTCCTGTTGTGAGGTTTGTAGCCCCAGATGATTTAGGTGTTTGAACTTTTTTAGTCAGGGGGGATTTTTCAGCCGGGGATTTTTCAGCCGGGGATTTTGCAGCGAGTTCTGGAGACTCTCTGAAGAAGACATTTGTGGATTTTGGAAGAAAGAAAGAAAAGCTTAAATAAGAAGGATGTTCCTTTTTTTCAAGCTCAATTAACAGATCACAAGCCTTTTTATGATGTAATATCAGGTTTAAGAATCTGGGTGTGCATTAGAGACTGAAATTTTTTCGGGAATCCTGAGATGGGAGTCAGTATTAGTAATGATCACGTGATTGGGACGGTACAGGATTAAACATTAACGGGAGCAGATGGGAGCGGGAGCAAGGATCGATGCCAAAAAATAAAATAGAAAGAAATTGGCGCCGCCAATTTTTAGTTTTTTTCCTTGAAGCCTATACTATAATGCGAGTCAAAAAAAGCTACACGACCCAAAAACCAACAGTGCTTCCGCTCTGAGTTTTTCACCCGCGCTCAAAAACAACAATGGAGGGACCAACAGTTACTACAGTTAGAAACAGGAACTTAACTGACCCTTCATAGAAATTCAGATTCAATGTTTTGGCAGAAATCTTATTGAAGACAACAAGAATGGGAGTGGTGCAGGAGCTGGAGTCATTCTGAATGGGAGCGGGATGGGAGTGGGAGTAATTTCACCAGGAGTGGGACGGAACAGGATTTAGATTTCTACTCTCGCCCGGGATTGGGACGGGACACATTTTTTTTCTGTGGGAGTGGGACGGGGCAGGAGTGAAAATCCACTCCTGTGTCAGTCTCTAGTGTGCATTAGGTTATCTATAGCATTAATATTTAGACAAGCAATGACAATCCTTCTGGCAACAACTAACAATTGAAACAATGAACAAATGCTTTGATTAAATACGAACATTTCCAAGTGTCCTAGACTCCCCTTTTCAATAGGATTGCTCTTATTATTCAAGAAATAGCTTCCTTTCTCTGTCCCATCACATCTGAAAGGTCCTCAAAAGGGTGAGATCTAGCGACTATGGACCATATGTGAGATGATCTGGCTCTCTTTAATGGAGCAGTAACCTTCAGGAGGTAGCATCAAACAGCACTGCAGTCAGAAGGGGATCAACATATCTAGCAACAATACTTAGCAGGATGTTAAATTTGAACTGCACTATTTGCACTTTAGGGAAGCTCATTATGAGAATATATCTTAATCTATTAAACCATCAGGAGCTCTAAATCTTTTATCAACTAGGTTGGATCTAGGGCTGAAACAATTCATCGGATGAATCAATTACAGAAATAATCGTTAATGATTGATTAATCATTAACTGGAGTATAGAGACATACCTTTAGCTGACAGCAGAGTTGTAAAAATTTAGAAACATTTGCATTTAAGATGAAAAGTGTTTCATCTGTAAATATGCTCTATCCAGACCCCTCGGGTGGAAGTTTTAGTTTCACCTGGTTTGATTCTGTAAAAAAAAATGTTCTTTAAGGAACCTTTTGCTTTCTGATTATTACTCAACTGTATAGAAAAAAAAAAGAATTTAAAAAAGATAAACAGATTAATTGATTAGCAAAATGATCATTAGTTGCAGCTCTAGTTGGATTCATGTTTTTTTCTCTCTAACAAAATTCTGAGTTTTGAAGCTAAAATTGAGTTTGTAGAACAAGTAGATTCAGCAATCCCTGTTAGCGGAACTGAGTCAACCACAGCATCAATCCTCAGAGGATAATGGGGATAGAAACCAGTGTGGTCTAAGCTTCTGTAGCTCATCTCTGGATGGTGCTTTAACTATAACTTTAAGCTACTCTGGTTTCCTTATTAGCTCCTAAATCCGCTGCTCATTGGATACTTTCTCATTTGTAAACCCGAGAAAGGTTTACAGTTCAATCGCTAGTAATACTCAGACTGGGCCATGTTTGGATGCCTGAATTTCTGCCACATGATGCACTTAGTGGCTTTTCTAGCTAACAAATAACTAATATATTTTATTAGTATATGTTCCCCAAACATAAAAGAGGGTATCCAAGTAGGGCGGCAACAACGAATCGATAAAATCGATAAAAATCGACTTTTAAAAACGTTTGCAACGAATTTCATCATCGATTAGTTGTGTCGCGCGATTAATGCGTCATCCGCCTTGACTGAAACGGGGGAAGAAAAAAAAAATACGGCAGAGCAAGCCAGCGCCGCAGGTGCAGTGTTGCCAACTCAGCGACTTTGTCGCTATATTTAGCGACTTTTCAGACCCCTCCAGCGACTATTTTTCAAAAAAGCGACTGCCGACTTTTTACGGTGTCACTGGCGGCTTTTGGAGACTCTTACGTGAAAGCACGCTGCTGCCGTGGGGCGCCTCCCCCATCCTAACCCCGTTCTCCCGCAGCAGTCCCTCTCAGCGCTGCAGTCAGAGCCGCAGGATGTTTACCCTCAGCGTCCAGACTGCAAATGAAGCGCGCATGCTCCGGGATTGACGGCGCAAATTGATCACAATAATTAAAATATATAAATAAAAAAAATAAACATTAATGGACAGAAAAAAGTAACTCTATATATTGTACAGTAATATGTCAATTATATGTCACATTCCCATGTAAATATCTGTCTTTGGAGGATGTGTTTTTTGTAGCACCCCTAGTTCTCTCATTTTTATTCCAAATACAATTTATAATTTGAATCACAGGGCTATTTTTATCTCTATGGTTCAGTATTTTCTCAAGTAGCAACTTTAACTGCTATACTTTCCTGTCTTAAAAGGCAGAACTCTTCTAGTCTAAAAAAAAACCTCATTTGAAATGGGGGGACCTATTGTTTGAACCCCTTAGGGGCTTTTAAAAACAAAAATGTCTTTTTTGCACTTTATGAAACAAAGTAGTCTATATTTTGTGGATGTACAGCTACATTTCTCATGTAAGTTTGGGTAGTTTTAACAAACATTTATTTTTCATATTACACCAGTACAGTTAATGAGCAACCTGTACTTGTGTGCTTGTTTGTTCTGTCTAAAATGTTTATTTTGGAAAAAAGTTAATATAAAAAATATTTTTTGTCCGATTCATCGATTAATTGAAAAAAATTATCGGCCGATTAATCGATTTGTAAAATAATCGTTAGTTGCAGCCCTATATCCAAGCACTTTACTGTAGTCCAGCTGATGTTCACTTATATTTCAGCAAATTTTAAGCAATTCTTGATTTTGATACTTAAAAATTAACTCAATTAGTGTAAATCAACAATCCAACCTATAAACTAGCCTTCAAACTTTACAATAGTTTCCCAAAAGTAATACTGCAAGCAATGCCTTACTTCTGGGAAGCCGGTTTCTGCTCCTTCTTCGTTGGAGGCTTCTTGGTGGCAGCAGTCTATAAACAAAGCAAATGCATTATGATCCAATGTTATAATCCACTGTGTGAAGTCAGTGTAGATAAAAAGCAACTTACCGGGTTGTTTTCAACAAAGACGGGCAATCCCTTCACTTTGAAGCTTTTTAAGCTCCTCAGTTTATCGGCGTCTTCCTTCTTCTCAAAATGCACGATGGCCTACATTTACAAACAGAAATAAAAAAGAAATCAAGCCCACCTGCTTAATTATCATCACTTATTTATGTATATCTGACCAAAACATGCAAAAGGAAAAGAAGACCGTTAACATACTTCTAGTGTGGATCTGAATAAAACCAAGTCCTTGACTTTTCCAAATTTCTCCAAGCTTTCCATGATGATACTGTAGGAAAGTGAGGAATAAACACTAGACAGCCTCACTTTGTCCAGAGGTAAGGGTAAGGGCTGAAGAAATGGACATGAAAAGATTAAAACACAGGAAGATCTGTTTGTTGGTCTTTTTAACAGATTAAATGGGCTTATGGAGTTAAACCAACCAGTTTTGGTGAAGTGGTTATCTCGCTCTTTGGACAGCTGGATGAGGCTTTAGCTGATTTAGAGGAAGGAGTATTCTTTTCCGTCTTTGAAGAGGAGGATGACTTCATCTTAGCCAGCTCAGCCAGCAATGCGGGGGCCAGAGTTTTAACCATGGCTTCCAGGTCTGATTTTCTGGACAGAGACTGAACAGCTAGAAGAACAATGAGATTTTCTAATTAACTAGAGCGATTACTCGTTTAGTACAAATTGAAGGGAAAAAACGTTGGACATTCTTCAAACCTGTTGTTTCCAGAAGCCTCTTAGCCAGGATGTCTGCGCTGCTGGACCTCTTACGGTGAGGTTCTGATCTCTCTGGAGGTGACCGCCTCTCATGGCTTCGCCTCTCCTCACTTCGCCTCTCCTCACTTCTCCTCGCTGAGGACCGCCTGGCCTCCCTCCTCCTGGGCGGGGACCGTCTCTCATAGCTCCTTGAACGCGAGCGCTGACGAGACGAGGTGGGGCGTTCATAGGACCGAGAGCGGGACCTGAAGGCAAACATCAATCGTAACTAGATAAGGTAAAACTGTTGTTGCATTTACCCCAATAAAAAATTAAAGTTGTATTTTTTTTAAAGACCTGCGAGAGTGTCTGGAGGCGTAAGGCGATTTGCTACTTCTTCTCTCTCTTTGCCCTTCTGAGGTGTAACGGCGCTGTGGGCTACGGGATCGAGAACGGCTGATGCGTTTCTGCCTTCTACTCTCTGCTCCGTAGCGGCGGTGTGGACTGCGCGATCGTGAGCGGCTAACCCGCTTTTCCCTTTTATCTTCCGATCCACGCTGGCGCTGAGGGCTGTGCGAATGGGAACCGGTATCAGGCGTGGACTTCTGCTGGCGGTTCTGCAACTTCTGGCCGACGGATGTGGGCGAGGGTTGGGTACCTTTATCTGAAGGACTACAGAGAATCATAGCAAGGAAAATAAGGTTAAAAATAGAGCTCATAGGGTGACTGAATCATAACTGGATATAATCCAGCAGCAAAACCCAGAGGTACCTCAACGAAACTAGTGGATTCCCATCCCAATCAGGGTATCTGGAAAGAAAACACAACCAATTACTAATTAAAACCAAAACAAACCCTGTTTTCTAATGTTTGTCTGTCACATAGAAGCAATTTAAAAATCTGATGTAGGTTTAGGGAAATGGTTTCACTCTATTCCTTTAAGAGGAGATCATACGTTTAATTTGTACCTTTATTATTCACCACCTTTGATTTATTGTTTTACTTCCTGTTTTATATTTATTTCTGTTAAATTAAACACATTATGTTTAGATGTACAACAAAAACTAAGCATGTTACATGAGCAGCATATTAACAATGAAGGTCTCCTTAACTTTGACTAAGATTAGACACTAGTTACTTTTAAGAAAGTTACTGAAGTTTAAAGTTCATTAGTGAAACATTATATAAACGAAAACCATTTCAAACTTATTAAAGTAGTGCTGGTTAAGCTATGGTGATTTGTTTAGAGCCAGATCTTGTAGTTATCAGGCTCTTCCCCTGTGGAACCAACTTTTAGTGTGTGAGGCGAACATCCTGTCTACTTTTAAGGCAAGGCTTAAAACTTTCCTTTTTGATAAAGCTTATAGTTAGAATGGCTCAGGTTATCTAGATCGACCTCTATAGTTATGCTGCTATAGGCTTAGACTGCAGGAGGACCTAGGGACCCCTATTTCATCATTCTATCTCTATTCTCCTACTCTGCAAAATGTGTTAGTTCAATCTCTTAACGCAACTCTCTCTCTGCTTTTTCTCATCATAGTAGCATCATCTGGCCGGTTTCTGTTTGGCTGTGACTCCATCCTGGAGAGAAATATCAGCTGTGCTGCTGACATCAACACCGTTGTTTATAGATGTCAGAGCTTGACCTGTTTTTTAGTGTAGTCCTGTTTCTCTGACTGTCACTAACTGGATGTGCTCTCTTCATCCTCGGACATTAGAGCTGGCTTGAAGTTTGTCTGCCTGGCTGTGTGTTTCCTGGAAGTTGAGTCTTGTGCAGCTAGTTGACAGTTGCCTTTTGTATCTCTGCTTCTTTTTCTAGGTCTGCTTCTGTGTCTTTGAACCCCAGTAAACGTTGGCAGATGGCCGCTCACACTGAGCCTGGTTCTGCTGGAGGTTTTTTCCTGTTTAAAGGGAGTTTTTCCTCTCCACTGTCGCTACAAGTATGCTTAGTCTGAGGAATTGCCTTCGGGTCAATGAGTCGATGCAATCAGCTGTTTGTTTTCTTAGATAGAGAACTTTGAATCAATTTGACTGTATAATCTGGTTGAATTGTCTTTGTAAAGTGCCTTTGTTGTGAATTGGCGCTATATAAATAAACTGAATTGAAATTAATTTAGATGTTTGTCTCCGATTAGGAAAAATTATTCTCACTTGGATATTTCTAAGAAAGGATGGTCATTTATACCTTATAGGCTACAGCAAATTATTTAACAAACACATGGTAAGATTATGCAAATGTAAACTCGGTAAACTGATAAATTAAATGTCTATTTTTATGCATTCACTTTTGGGTAAGAATTTGTCTTATCTACTTTATAACTGAACTGTTTGTTTTTTGGGATGTAATTTTTAGAAATCCAGAGGTGAGCAAACCCAGTCTACAAAACACCACACATTTATGATGCAGCTGGTGTTTAAAACATGGATTCCTAAGTAAACAATGAGGTGGAAGCCAAGTTAAACCAAAACTCACCGCCCTCTCAGCAGTCTGCAGCTCTCCAGATGAAGGCTGGTGTTCTGGTGGGAGAGCCAGTCCTGATCAGAACAACAAACAGGGCTATTAAAAAACATGCTCTTCAAATTTTCCTAATTCCTCAGACAACCACAAAAAAATAAAAATAAATCATGTGTGTGTGTATATATATATATATATATATATATATATATATATATATATATATATATATATATATATATGTACACACACACACAAATAGCCAATTTTAAGGCATTTTTCTGAACACAAATAAATATATCATTAAAGCTGAAATAAAATGTTTATGACAAAGAGGGTTTTTTACAGGATTGATACAAAAAATAATGTTTAAGAAGGTTCCAGCGTCGAGCTCTTCAGTCTTTGTGGTGTTGAAAAAAATCTGAGGTCTTTCCTGAATGCCGATAGGAATGTAGCAAGGTCCAGAACAAGGAAGGTAGAAAATCCAACAGAAAAATCAAACTTGATTCTATCTGAGGAAGCTTTCAATTTAAAAAAAAAAGGTACATCATGAAAACTGTAAAACAACAACAGAAATTCTGTGTACCTTCCTCAGTTAAAATCATTTCATAAAAAAAAAAAAAAAAACTATGTCTCCAACAGGTCCTATAAAAAAATAAATATGTTGGGGAGGGGATGGGGTTAGCATCTCATCATGTCCGGTCGATCCTTTATTTCTGCAGTGGCCCGCCTCGTTCTTTAAAACGTCCAATAATATTCTTATTACCCGAATATTCAAGAGATATCGCATACAACGGTCATCACACTTAAATACCTTTACCAATTTAATACAACACATTTACTGACTAGTTTCAGGTCATCACATTTGTAGCAAACCCCCCCAAAAAAATATTGAACTGCAGTTTAGTACATAACCTTTAGTTCTAACATGGCTGTTAGAAACCTGAACAATGATTTCCCAGAGTGGATATTCACAATACCTCATGTTTGATTACAGTCTATGTGAAACAATTAATTAATGTTTGTATGTTTTTAAAACACAAATATGTGAGTTGAATTTATATTGAAAATTAGGACAATTATGTCCAGGACTCACCTTCATACTGGTACATTCTTTCATACAAAGACAACAGGTATGAGGAAATATTCTTGGTGTTGCTGCAGCGTAGTCTTGCATCATGGCCGGCGTTGGGAGGACTTTGGACGGACCAGTCTTCGCTACTGACGTCTGGCCCTTGAAAGCTGGAGCTGGCAAACGCGGCATGGCGTGCATCGCGCCGGGCGCTGGCATCGGTGGGGCGGGGCGAATTGTGATGAGAGCCGACGGGGTCGTATTTGCAGGAGGGACGGCTCTGGGTTGGGTGGGCTGTTGCATTTGTTTAAATGGTGGAAATGGCTGTTGATGCATCTGGGGCTGCTGCTGCTGCTGCAGTGTTGGCGGCGGCGCTCGCTGTTGGGCCAGTTGCTTCGGCTGTTGTGTCTTCTGCATCTGATCAGGCAGTTTGTTCGTCTGCTCAGGGACCTTTAAGCCTTGACCTTGAGTGTTGCTCTGAGTATCATTTCTGTTAATAAGCACGAGGCCAGGCCGCCCAGGGTGAACTCCACGGACTAAATTACAGGCTGTGTTGGATGGCTGGGCTTTGGAAGTAGCTTGGCAGGCCAGTTCTGGTTGTTTCGGAGGAGTTTGAGGGACTTCTGACTTGAGTTGCCTCATCCCAATGTCCTTGTTCAATGCGAAGGATGGGAAGATTGATTTTGAGGTCTGGTTTATTTGGACTTGGATATTTTTAGCCGGTTCACTGCTGGATGGAGCAACAGAGGTTCTCAATGAGTCAACGCTGGAGGAAGAACTCACCAGGCCACGTGACGAGACAGGCGATTGGGTCTTCAGCTCCGTCATCCCTCTTTGAGGTGGCTGTCTGCTACTTTTGAAAGCATCCATGTGTAGCACATTTCCACTCGCACCAGTCCTCGCTGAACTGCCCATAGCTCTTCCGGCCTTGTCTCCGACTGGAGCGGTATATTTGCCAGTGTGTCCATAATCGATAACTTTACTGGGTTTAAGAACCGCGGATGATATCTGATCTGGAGTCAATGCTGGCTCCCTGGAGGTAATCGACTTGTCCGTTTCCCCCTTACTTCTGTTAGACTGAGCTTCACTGTAGGGTTTTGACTGAACTGTAGCTGAGACTCGCTTTTCCTTATTTTGTCGGATCTGCCTTAAGATAAAGGGCAGGTTGTCAGGTGTGATCTGGTCCTCTGGGTATGAGATTAAGCTTTCCAAGTCTTCCTGTTCAAGACCAAAGTGCAGAAGGATGTTGGAAGCCGATTCTGAATTGTACTTGGGGCGAGTACTCTCCAAAGGAGGCGTAGGCTGAGGTGGTGTACCCCTGGCGTATTCACCCAACCCTGGAATGGATGACACATCACGTTTTTCATTACTGGAGGTACTGAACCAACTGTTGCCACTGCCCTGAAAGGTGGAGGAAGCAGGTGAAAATGTGTTTGACAGCTCTTTCTGTGAAGCCCTTTGGCAGATTGGCAACCAGTCCAGACTGCTGCTAGCACTGTCCGCAGTGAAGGAACTCTTCTCCTGAATGGGGGTAGAAGTCAGATATGAGGGCTGGCTTGTGTTTGAGGAACGAAACGTGTCTTTTTGAAGATTGGTAAATTGGGAGTTTTGGTTGGCAGAGTTTTGCTTTGCCTCTTCTCTGGCTCTGCTGATATTCAGGTCCAGACATCTGTCTACGTCTTCGTCCACTGTTATGTTATTCCTCTCAGTCCTGTAGTTCGCTGGCAAAGACATAAGGGATGGCATAGGTCCTCCGGTGGGCCCAAGATTGCTTGAAGAAGGTCCAGAAGAGATGAAGTTTGAACTAGCGCCAAGCTGAGGGAGTCCCCTCTGAGGGTCTCTCTGCATTTGTCCACCGGAAGGTCCATAAGGCCCCTGGGGAGACATCTGGTTACCAGGGGCAAAGGGATTATACCTGGGATGTGACATGGTGTTGGCAATCTTCAGAAGATTGAGGAGATTAATGGCCACAGCAGTGGGCGAAGGTGGTTTTCCAGGTAACCCCTGAGCAGGTGTGTTTGGGTTTGCTGTTAAGGTTGCAGCGCAGCCACCCACAGCGAAAACATTGTTCATCTGCGTAAATGCTAGCTGAGCCTTCAGCTGGGCTAACTGCAAAGAAGCAGCCTGCCTTCCTGTCAGTGACGAGCTCCCAGGAAGCCGGCTGAGAAGTGGGCTCGTTAGGGGCCCTGGAGCAGGACACGGGCCACAATTCTCCAAAAGCAAAGAAAAGCTGAAAAGTTTGAAAGAACAAAGAAAGAGGTTAATGACTGGGGATATTTGGCTTTGCAGCCCAATGACTCCATCACTTGGAAGGCCGCTGTCCATTAGCTTCTGTTCTGTTAGCTACATAGAAACTTGGACAATACATTTTTAAGGTTTTGCGAAAATAGAGAAGCCTCAACATCAAACAAATGGTAGAGAAAACAATCCTGAAGGAGGTCATATGTTGCAGTAAAAAATATATTTGTTTTCTGGGGATCATGTCTGTAGCAGAATACAAAGCAGCAAAAGGCAAAGCTCATCACTACACAAGTAAAGAGTAGAAGGAGGACAAAAAGTTTCATCTTTTCTTAATTCAACACAAAATGCAAAAGCAAACATCCTATGTTTATTTTCCATCGAAGGGGAAACCTAAAACCCACAGGAAATGGATCAAAACGTCCAGGAAGCGGATTTTCAGAGTAAATGCTCAACGTTACAGAAATATACAGACAGCAGGGTTGTCCTTAAAAAGTAAAATACAAATTTAAATTTGTTTCTTTCAATTATATTAAAGCTCATCTAAAAAGAACAAATACATACATTCTTGATCTAAATCAAAAATAGGTCTCCTGAAGCACTAGACATTTTGAGGATATAAATTAAAAGCGGCTCTGAAGTGTGGATGCCCCTCATCGATGCTGATGATGACGTGCCATGTCCACTTCATCTTTAGGAGCTCAGACGTAAAAAAAAAGAAGTTTGTGTGAACTTGGAGAAGTAGGAAAGTGGATTGATGTCCTTTCTTCTTTGGATCGCCACGAGCCGCATTTCGGATGCCATCTTCACCGTTTCTTCTCCATCTCAGCGATGTATCTGCAACTCTGTTTCATTCACTATATGACAACAATGGGCACCCTATGGATAACAGTGCAGGTCAAGGACTCGTAGGAGGGCTACTTTGTCTAGAATTGCTTTATCTCATGTAATGAAATCAATTAAATTAGCAGCAGAAAAACTGCAGCTAGGCAACTCCTCTCACAACCGATTGACGCCGAATGGCACATATTATCAAACAAATTTAAAATATTTGTGAATTAATTTATTCTTTTTATATATATATATATATATATATATATATATAACTAAGCTTTTAATTGTTGTTACTCAAGCCATCCTGTGGGGTAATGGAGTATAAAACAAATCTCACTAAACTAATAGAAGTTGTGTTTACACCAATAGTAACAGCAACAAATAAATACAATTCAAATAAAGTGTCTGTATTGTTGCATTCTTTCACCATTTCGAACACGTTTTGGTAATTTTGTGTATTTATTTATGCTACAAGGATGGGGAGAAGGTTTGGACAGTTTAGGCAGGGGTCAGTGAAGAGTTTGGCGGTTAGATGAAAGAGGAAAACTGATCTGCTGCCATGGTAACCAGTGGCGCAGCATCGAGGGGGTCAGATGAGGGCAGCAAGGAGTTGTAACATGGTTGGTGGGGGAATCCGGGTCTGTATGTTAGTCTCCACTGAATAAAAATACTATAAAACAATATTTACAGCACTAACAAGCGACACTTTGCAACAACAGCGGAGCAAACACCTGCCACGTTTAGAAAAATAATAATAAACCACTGGGAAACACTCGATGCTACGTCGCAACGGAATCAGTTTTTCCCTTTAACCTTATAAACAAATCGATGTTTTTTTCCATCTCCTAATCAAGAGTCATCGTGTTTCGGTGCTAACCTTTGATTCGGCTACTAGGCCTGTACAAGCGGCTCCAGTTCAACGCGGAGCACAACGACTCCCCGTCGTTCAACATATTGTCATCAAAATGAGGTACATACCACTCTTTATTGGAGTACAGTTCCCACTTTTTTACGAACTTAAAACGGGTTCTCTGGTCGATTTATGCGTTCACTTTAGCATCTTCCGTTAGCATTCCCGTCCATAACAGGCAAGCCAACTGCAGCCAAGAGCAAACAGACATGCGCAGTACGAGAAACTTCCGCTTTGGTGGCCTTCAGAATAAAGGCAAAAAAAGGACATGCGCAGTACGAGTAACTTCCAATTTGGTGGCCTTCAGAATAAAATAAAAAAATATTAATGAAGACATTAAATAGAAAAATCAGACAATCTTTTATAGAAAATGGTTTGATAGGGGAATATTACTTGTAATGCAATTACTAAATCCAAATGGTCATTTATTGTCTTATTCTGACTTTATGTCCCTTTTCCAATTTTCTGTTTACCCCTAAAGAATATGCTGTTGTGTTTGGTGGAATTCCCAGTGGGTCATTAAAGCTTTTATCATCTTTACCCACACGTCAAATTTACTCGGTGCAAAGTTTTGATCCAAACTCGAATTTTATTGATTATGATTGTCCTCTTATATTATGTCCTCTTCCAGTGAGGCTAAACCTCTTAGGGGGTATATGGAGCAGGGGCGGTTCGTGAAGCTGCTTGATGCTGATTGGCAAAAATACTAAAAAATGTTGACAGTGGCAAGGAGGTTTTCATCATCATCATGGAGTCGAGAGGGAGAAGTGATCATTCAGTCAGAAGAGCCATCTTGTGCTAAACTCTTGCCATGGTTACTGGAGTTTATTATTTCAGAATACTTCACAACAGCCATTTACATTTAAAATGTAATTTTCCCTTTGGGATCAATAATATTTTTGAGTTGAACTGAATTTTATTTATTATATAACAAACCTAAATGCCTTAAATGCCTTTCTGTTGTCAAATTGCATCTTTCAAAATAACCTAAAATTTGCAAAGGCATTTCAGTCTGATGCACTTTGCTGTGGATACATTTTAAGACTGAATAATTTTCTTCTAAATACGATTGCTTAACAATACAGCATATTTACACCTGAAACTTCCCTAAAGCTGTGTACAAAAAAAGGAAATAGGAGAGCCAGACGGCTGAACATACACAAAAGTAATGTCTGTTAAAAACAATCTGGTTTAATCCAATAATACTAAGAAACAAAGAATATTATTCATTATCTATATTATGTAACATGTTAAGGTAAAAAAAAAACAAAGCATGCTGTCACTAGAACCATTTAGCGGAAAGTATATTAAATTAGGTTTTCCTGAATTTAAAGCTTTGAATTAGAGGAAGATATTGAAAAGCTTGTGTTTTACACGTTAACAGTCCTTAAAGTTACGATGTCTGACTTGTGGTAATCCAGACACTTATTAATCCTCCAGACATTGCCAGATTTCCAAGCCGTATTTAGTAACACATCAAGACATGTGTTGTACCCAGGGCCCGCCCTATGAGCTTCATATCTTTGAGAATTAACTGCTATCCACTTTATAGACTGTTGAGTCATCAGTTAATCAAAAGGTGTTGATGAATATTTTCATTAACAGATCGTTCGCTGATGGGTATTGCTGCAAATTACTAATATATCCCCTTCATCCCCTCTCCTGGACCACAGGGCTTTACACCTGACCACAGAGCAACAGCTGACTGGCAGATATCCTGCAGTGTGTGCCGCTGTGGGTCTGGAAGGAGAGGTGGAGCCAAGAGAAGCTGAGTTTATTTTCAGCTGTCATCGCTACTCTGACTGAGGTTCATATCTGTGACCTCAGAGCAGGCTGCACACATGTATGGACATACAGGCGTGACATACATCGAGTTGGACTAATCCGTCCAAGTGGTAAAACAGGCATCAAACCGTTTTTTGTATCAAAACTTTCCTCACAACATTTTCCAACATTTGCATAATATTTACCTAAATAAATCACTCTAGGTATCTGGTTTATCTTCATGCAAAATCATACGTGGTTTAAAAACTCTTTACCACATAAAGAACATTTCTGGGATTAAAGGAATAATGTCCAAGCAGAATCTAGAAAAACTCATCGATGTATTTATCTTTAGTAGAATTGATTACTGCAATAGTGTCGTCACAGGTTTCCATTAGACAGCTGCAGCTGATCCAAAATGCTGCTGCCTTTGTTCTCACTAGAACTAAGAAAGTAGAGCACATCAGTTCTGAAGTCCGTCCACTGGCTCCCTTTAGCTCAGAGAATAGACTTTAAAATCCTTCTGCTAGTCTATAAATCACTGAATAGATCAACACTTCAATACATAACAGATCTGTTGTCAGTGTATCAACCTCCCAGATCGCTCAGGTCTTCTAGTTCCAGTTTACTCTGTCCACCAAGAACTAGAACCAAACATAGAGAAGCAGCATTTAGTTGCTGTGCTCCACTGATCTCATCAAACTCCAAGAAAACTGTAAAAGTGCTGAAATCCTGAGTTCTTTAAAGGCATAGAGGGTGATCTATTATTTCTTTGTGGATCATCTAAATAAGCGGCTCTCCTAATTGTCAATCATTTTGGTTACATGTTTACATAAGGCCGTCCTGCGTGCTCGTCCCTTTAGCTATATGTTTGTATGCATGTGCACTTTTAGGTGTATATCTATGGTGAGCTATGGTTTCAGACAGTCATTGAAGCTCACCTTTCTCACTGCGGTTCATTGAAAATGGCCGCGGGTCGTGAGAGAAAAGGTGTCTAACCTCTTAAAACCCACCAGGTCGCCGGCGACCCGGTGGGGGTAATAATTCAGAATGCATTAAATTCTACCGGTAAAATCTTTACCAGCAGGTGGAGCCATTGCACTCAGCTCCAAGCTGACACCAAAAGTTCCAAATCCCACAGCTCTGGGACTGTTATAGCTAAAGGTCTAAAATTTTGGTTGACATGATGTAGAACAAATATAATACAATAAAACCTGCTTTTTCCCAAGAATGTCTTAATTATTGCTGTTCAAAAAAGACCTATCAGTTCCGAGAATAAAAAACAACAACTTTGAGTCACATTTGAATTGATGCAGGTTGGTCTGTTTTCTACTCACCCAATTTTAATTTATATATTAGGAAACTAGAGGGTGTTAGCTTTCACATAATGTATTGCACATGTAATATGGGCTTACAGTTGATAAGTTATTTGCTTTTCCATTTGGGTATGCAAAATAGGCGAGGATTACCCAAAATGAGGTGGATGTTAAGAGGCTAAGAAGTGTATGAGAAGAAAGGAAAGGCCTCAAAAGAGGCAGATATATCCCAGAATGCTTTGCGTGGAGAGCTCTCCTCGCAAAGCATTATGGCATTTGCTGTCACAGCGGCCCGCTGTCGCCATTAACAGCTTTCAATAAACATTTTGATAAATCTGTTTGTCCGCTTTGAATACTGAATCCTTTTGTTCAGCCTGACACTACATTCATATTTCAAGCCTGAGTGCTAAGGTTGTGGTCCAAAAATTATCATTTCAGTTTTGATTTGTTTCAGCTGTAAAAATATATTTGCATATCCATGTGTTGATTTCTTCTAGGCTTTTACTCAGCACTTTGGTGACATCGTAATGTACAGTAGTGAGGCATCTCCATATTTATGTGACTTATATCGTCTTTGTTCAAGATCTGACTTTAGGAGAGCATGTAGATATTGATTACGAAGGACCCTACAATGGACCCCTGGGGAATGCCACATGTGATTTTTTTTTTTACTTTTAGTTGTTTTTGGGGTTTTTTAGTTGCCTACTGACTCAAAAACAAATCACTGTCTTTCAAGTTGGATTTAAACCAGTCCAGTTCTGATCCAGAACTGTAGATAAATTAAGTAAAATTCTGATCAAAAAAATATGTCAGAGTCTGCAAAAGAGTAGGATATTACCACCTTTTTTTATACCTAGAAGTATAGCAACCCTTAACATACGTCCAGAGCTTGATTTGTAAGGATGGCTTTTAAGTTCAGATTTAAATCTCTGTGGCTGACTGAGTTTGAGCTATTTTACATAAAGGAAATGGCCAAAGCCTGAATTCTCAGAGAATGTAAATTTACTTACATTTGCATTAGAGCCAAAGGTGACTAGAGGTTATTGACTCATGGAATTAAAGAATACAAAGAACTATCTTTGGTTGGTCAAACACGTCAAATGCTAATTGAATACATTCAAATGTGCGGTTGTTAATTTAATAACATACAAAAAAATAAAGGAGTGTATGTGTAACTACATAAAGAATAGTCAAATGTTGTTTTTTGAGGCATTTGAGAAGCAAATGTCATGTTGGGACAAATTCTTAATTTGCATAAAGGATATTCCCTTTTCTATGGACATATACAGCTAGTATTTAAAAAAGCAGATGATAAAGATGTCAGCCACTGTGCTTTGGTGGTTATATTATATTTAACAGGTAATGTTATGGATATACAAATAATAAACACGCAAAGTTTGCATCGATGCCATCCAACTCATCACAGTTCCACTTTTGTTGTTTTCTCTACCCATCACACCCTGCCCCAAGAGTTCCCAGCTCATGTCCCATGGGTATGTTGTTACTTCAGCACTTTCTTGGAGTCCACATGCCCAGCAACAGGCAGAATGGTTTAAATTGTCACGCAGTCAGGACACAAAGTCCAAACTGAAATCCAAACCAGACCAGCCCTTCTGCTACACATGTCTTGGTCGTAAATCTCTCTGCGGCTCTGGCAGTTTATCACCCACCCTGCTTATTCTTGACAGATGACTGGGGAATATGCATGTCTAATTTTAAATTATGGATTGACAGTTAAATGTGGAAATATAAAAGTGAGGTTTGATGGGTCCTGCTGAGTAGTCTAACCCTCACAAAGCCACATAATGAAGAATATTTAGCCTTTCGGTCTAATCAGTGCTGATGAAAATAAATCATGTCTGGCTCAGACATAGAGCTGCAGTCACTCAGCACCATGGTGCCTGGATATACAAGTCTGGATCAGATGGAAACTGTTTATTAGCCCTTTGACATTACAGTGATAAATCTTTATGAATTATCAATGAATCATTTGTTATTATTATTATTTGTTTAATGTATGTCTTTGTTTAAATTTTATTTGACATTGCTATATGAGGACATCTAAGGTTAAGATGTTGAAACTAATAGAAAACACTCAAAGTTTACATCTAAAC